TGTGTTCTTGCATGTGCGTGTGTGTGTGCACTCTCACGGATAGGGGCTTCGTTAGGGTAATTACAGCTTTGCTATGTAAATAAGCCTGTCATAGAGGAGAGAGACACACCCACCTCTTTTTCAGACCCAATTAACCTAACTCCCCTGAAATTTACATTCATAACAATCTCCAGTGCACACACATATGCACACACACACACATTATCAAAGTGCATATATAGTTATCAATAAATTCTTGCATGCAACAAAGTTTTTTTATTCCACACAAAGCCAGTCTTAGACATCAGGCAAGCACTGTGTGTGTGTGTGTGTGTGTTTGAGCAAACTTGGGAGCATTTGTGTATATTCGATCCTGGTTGCACCGGTAGACTACAGCTAGCCAGGTGATATCTGTATGCATAAGGCATCACCCCAGGCTAACTGGCTGCTGAAGCTGAGGTGAGCAGCATCTATCATCTCAGGCCGCTGATGAATGTCTGTCCTGAGTGGCTCCGTGGTGTAGTGCGGAGAGCACGAAATGACTCAAGGTGGAAGGAGAGAGGAGGAAGGAGGAGGAGAAAGGAGGAGGAGGAGGTGGGGGGAACAAGGTGGGAAGACAAGGGAGAAGGGCACGAACGAGAAGGAAAAGGGAGAAGGTAGAGGATATGAGAGAAGAGCAAGAGTGATGAATGGAAGATTGAGAGAAAGGCTCAGAGAAGAAGTGAGAATATTTAGTAAGGCTGCGTAAGAATGGAGGGATGGAGATGCACTGGGGAGAGAAGAAGAGGATGAGTGAAGGTGCTGAAGGAGGGAGGCAAGAGAAGGAACAGAAGGAGGAGTGTGACGGGTGGAGAAGCATGAGCAGAAGCAGGAGACAAGAGGAGGAAAGACTGAAATGGTGGAAGAAGGGAATTGGGGGAGGAGAGATAGAGAGAGATGAAGGCTGTGGGTGCACGAACAAGAACAGAGGAAGATAGTGGCAAGAAGGCAGGAAAGTGGGTCAGAGGAGAGGACGACGATGTGGAAGAGAAGGAAGAAGCGAGTGATGAGGCAAGATGGAGAGAAAGATACCAGTGGGAAAAGCGAGAGGGGGACGGGAATAGGAGAGAATGGAGAGAGGGATGGCAATGATAATGAAGTTTGTGGCCATTGGCACACGCAAATCTGAGTTTACAGCTTGGTACAGTGCAAGTACTGTAAAAGGCCATTTTCCCTGTTGTGGGACTATTCAAGGGTTAATATCAGATGGGGGCCAAATGTTTTCTATCATTTTAGGTAATTCTTAACACACTGATGTAGTCATGAAGTGACTGATAAGTTTAGTTGTAATGACCTTTGCGAAGGAGGTTTTGTTTTCATTTGTTTGTCTGTTTGTTAGTTTGCAGAATTACACAAAAACTACTACAATCCAATGTCCAATAAAGGCCAACGCCAGTGAATAGAGCAAATCCAGATAAACAAGAGGAACCAGGAATTTTCTTAACTTTCTTTAACACGTTTGGATAGAACTTTATACCCGAGGCGTAGGTATGCACTCTCCATGTGCCCTTATAGTTCATTATTTCATGCTATGAAAAGCGAATGAAACATCAGCTGACACTTTCTATCATTGGTCCAGTGCAAGTTTTGGCTTGGCTATTTTGGCTTCATTCTTGTACATCTTTGCATACAGTCTTAATTATTGCATCATTGTACATTCAGAGCTGTTCGAGTTATTGTCCATGGTACGAGTTGATAAATTATCTTTGACAATTACATAGGCTATATAAACATCTACAAAAACGCCATTGGATGGTTGGTGCGGTAAGGAAAGATGGATGGACAGGAATGAAGAATGGCTCCAAAACACCTTATCTGCTCATCTGCATTTGGTAAAACAGAAGAAACGCAGACAGGAAGTACACAATGACACCGTTTGTGTTGATTCTGTGCAAAGAAGGAAGAGCCAGTGTTCCCGGGGATCATTGGGTTCTTGGATCAATACTGGTGCTATGATGAGACAGTGATAGAGTTTGTGGTTAGAGCTTAAAGGATACGTACACCATCACTTTCTCTTCTTCCTGTTCTCATTCTCTCACTAACTAAACCTGCTTTGTTTAAAAATGCAACTGATTTTCTCTGTGCTGCAGTTTTATCCCTTTCAGTGGGATCCATTGTTAAAAAATACCAGCCTCAAATCTTATGATTGGGGGGAAACAAAACTTGAAAAATGACATGTGTCTTTGTAATCATGACATTGCAATAATAGTCATTTAGTTGACCATCTGATAAATAGGTAGTGTTCATGAGATATGTTCAAATGACACAAATGAATGAATGAATGATGAAAAAGGAGGAAATGTATACATTTTCATTTGTTGCTTTGCCAACCTGAAAATGTTGGTCTGGATGGATGTCATTTCTACTCAACAGCTTATTCAAATTGTGCCTGTTTAGTGTGAATGTAGTCTGAAATACATGTAGATATTAAAAGATTAAGATTAAACAGGATAAAATGATGATTCAGAATCAATCCAATTGTTTCCTCTAAATAATCTAATAAATACACACTTCAACATGTAAATCCACAAAGCTGAAACCAAATAAGTCCAATGTGTTTTTCTTGCTTTGCATTTTTGAATTAAATCAAATATGTTTCAACTTACACGAATCGTGAGGACATTGCTAACGTTTACAGTATGTCACTTCTAAAATCACATTACTCTATATCCATTGCATCTGTCAGTGTGTGTGTTGCTATATGTAACATACACGAGCTCACTGGGGGGAAATTCCTGCCATTTATATTGAAGATGCCTCTCGCTTCTGTTCTTTCTTTCTTCTCTTGCTCTTATTATTCCTCTGTGCTTTAAAAGTACATCTGCTCATCGTGAGGTGTTTGTATTCTCATGTAAAGAAGCTTCACTACCATATACATGCAGTGTGTTTTTTCTCTCTCTCTCCCTGTCTCTCTCTCATTCTCTCTCTCTCTCTCCCTGTCTCTCTCTCACTCTCTCTCTCTTTCTCTCTCTCACTCTCTCTCACACAAATACACACGCACACAGACAGTCAGCTGTGCCCTTCCCACAGCAAGTAGCATGAAAAGAGAGCACACTGCCTGTCCCTGCCTTACACACAGACACACACACACAGACACACACACACACACACGTACACACACACACACACACACACACACATACACACACACACACAAACTCTGCAACTGCCCTCTACACACTCTTAAAGGGACATGACACAGACTTGTACATCGCAACCAAGTGCCAGCATCATACCCGGATATTAAATGAGTACATTTGCAGAAGCTGTATCATCATCACAAGCAAACAATTGAATTAATAACATATAAAGAATTAATTAATTCTATTAGTGTTCTTTTCTGTGTTTTTGAACAAAACAGGAAGCCACAGTATGCGTGTCACTGTTCTTGTGTAATCTAGATTTAATTACAAGAAACACGAAACAAATAGCAACAGTTTGAGCATGATTCTGTGTGTCTGTTGTGTACCTGAAAATGTATTTACATTTACAAATTTGTAAAACGCTAAGGCCACATAGAAATCGAGACAATTTATGCTGGTCCATACATATCAAGGTTAAAAATGATATGGTGTAAAACATATGCAGGAGCCTTAACAAACACTGCAAGAAATTAATTCAGTAAACGTGAAAAGACAGAACAAAGTGGACGAACAGGACTAAACTTTTTGTCAATATTGTAGCTTTCTGCTTGTTGTCCTAAAACCTTGTCCACTATCTCCAAACACATCTAAAGCAGACATGTTTTGTCCTCAAAATAGATGCAGACAGTGGAATCTGTCCTTATGAATTAAATAGTAGAACAAAATTAAATTATTGAATAAAAGCAAATCTAAACGATCCCCTTGTTAGTTGGGACTGCTCCCACCTTTGTTGTGACCCTTGGTCGACTCAGGACCCCAGTTTGGGAGCAAAGTATAGTACATGAAAATCGTTGTTTTCCCTGTTACTGTATGTGATCATTAATTTAGTGGCATTCGTAGGCAATCTGAGAGTCAGGATTGAACAAAAATGATGTACTTTTTGTTGCCTCAATAGTGACACTAGATAAGTACTTGAACTGAACATAGTAGCGCTTGAGGGCCACATAAACCAACCTAGGTGAGGATTTGGATGAATCAAGTGCACTATAGGTTTAGGGCTAAAATAAAACATTGAAGTGTACCACTGAGATACATCATACCATGGTTCCAACGGTCCCCAGTGTGAGTACCAAGTATTACATGAAAATATGGCATCCTTTTTTTACTGTTACTGTATGTGATCAGTTCTTTAGTGACATTCTAATGCAGTCTGAAGGTCAGGAATGAACAATAATGAGGCACTTTTGGTTGGAATTGATGGTTGCTCCAATGGCGACACTAGATAAGTACTTGGACTGGACATAGTAGCACTAAAGGGCCAGAAAAACGAACCTCAGTGAGGATTTTAGGGACTCAAGTTGCCTTATTGTAGAAGAAAACAACATTATGCACCAGTATAACATCATGGCTGAATAAAGCATCAGAACTTGGTCCCAGTTCGAGAACCAAGTATTACATGGAAGTACGGCGTCTTCTTTTACAGTTACTGTATGTGATCAGTTATTTAGTGGCGTTAGTGGGTCAGGGTTGAACAATAATGGGGCACTCTCGGTTGGAATTGATTGTTGCCCCAATGAGGACACTAGATAAGTACATGGACTGAACATAGTGGCACTGAAGGGCCACGTAAACCGACCTAGGTGGGGATTCGGGCCCTTCTCGTTGAAGAATACCTCAATGTGCACCATTAGAACTCATCACACCGCTGCTTCATACGATATCCACAGCAGCAAATATCCACAATGCAGCTCGGCATGTGAACACGAGTCGCCTGAACTTCGGAGACAAACTTGAACTTGACGGCAGTCGACAGAAACCGAGCCGCTGCGCCTTTAAGAAGCCCCCACCGTCTGAGAGCAGGGGGGGCGTGAGCTGAATCCAGGAACAGCGATTGAAAGAAAAAAAAAAAAAAAGGAAACCGGAGCGAGGAGAGCGCAGGGGAGAGAGAGGGAGACAACACTGACCGGGTAGCTATGGAGATAGTAGGTTTTCCTGGTAGCTTTCTTTGACAGGTGTCGAGTGGGATAACGTAAAGTACCAGAGCGGCTTCCAAGATGTACGGCAAGGGCAAAGGAGCTGTGGTCCCCTCGGACAGCCAGGCGAGAGAAAAGTAAGTCAATTGTTGCAGCCGCTCACAACAACAGGGTCAAGAAGAGGAGTGAGCTAGCTGGCTAAAGTTGCTAACTGGTGTATCACTTCCAGCAGCGCGTGTCCGCTAGCCTCTGTTTTTATTTTTAAACTTTAAACATGCACGCTACGTTTAAAAAAAGTGATGCTGTGCTAGTTGTTAGCTTCTTTCTTTTCTCCCACCACCACCACCCCCTCCTCTCTCCCCGCATCCTACAACTACACGGGCATGGCTGCTAAAGTTAGCCCCCCCACTCTTAGCTTCACACACATTGCTAGTTTCACTCTTGTTTTCTCTCTCACGCCACACACACAGACACAGTGCTACTTTTGTGTTAAAGTTGCAGCACTTCCAGGATTGTTTGCTTATGCACGTGTTTCCAGCAGTAATGCAGAAAATGTTGCACCCCACCCGGGAAGCAGTGAGCGAGGGGGAGATCCCACTTCGGGTCCGGTGTGGAGGAACAATGCTCTCGGAGCTTCTGCTGTGCTGTTGTAGCTAGTCGTAGCTTTTCTTGCGAGTGTGTCGCCCCCGGTTGAAGCTGCAGGTATAAATAGAAAACAGCTGTTTGTGGGAGCTTTGTTATAAAATAGCACCGGGACGAGTTCCAGGACTCTCCGGCTGCATTGTATCCGAGCTTGTGCGCTCGCTCAGCGGACAGCCTCTCCTGCGATGCCCGGGCGATGAGGAGGAGGGGGGGGAGAGAGCTGCGCCTCCTAACTTTTGTGGCCCGTACAGATTTTCTCCACACACCCCGAGTTGCACGAACCGGTGCTGGTCACGATCAGCTCGTTGTTGCCTCCATAGCTCGCTTCGAAAAACTCAAATACGTGGTTTGTAAGTGTGATTTGCCACAAAAGTTAAGGTGGCGTTAGCCTCCAGAGCTGTAGCCCCTCCACGATCCCTTTGTCTGCGTGTCTCTGTCTCGATGCCTGTTGTTCGCCGGGGAGATCCATGCTGCACGGTTACCAGCACTTAAATAATAATTATAAGCCACACATCTTTCATATTAATCTGTATTGTTCATTTTGCAACCCTCCATGCTTTAGTTTTTGAAATAAGAGCCATCATCTGCAGCGGACTCCCCTTTCCTGATCGCCAGGGTTAACAAAGCCGCCTGAAGACCTCTCCATGCTGCCATTAAACTTTGTTAGATTGGACTGTTTCTGAGCCTTGTGTTGTTATTGTTGCATGATAGTTCCTGTGATGGTGCAGTTGGGTCACATTCGGGTAAATAAGATATCGGAGCCTCCACAGAGGAGAATGCTGCTGGCTTTGTTCCTCGCACCACAGTGGATGGGGTTAGACGCCACACTACATGGCTCACTCTCGGGCTCCCTGGACCAGTCAGCAGGTTGGGGGGGACCTGAGGTGGGACACAACTGTCAAGACCTGTGTGTCTGTGTTTGTGTGAAGATTGGAGTTACCCCCACAGGATCACACCCACCACTGCTCCTCTGTGAACCCACATTTCTTCATGCCTTTCCTCTGTTTGTCTCCATCTTACCTCCCTGACTCCCACCTCCCATCCTTCGTCTCTCCTCAAAGTCCCCTATCCCTCCTCGCTCGGCTGTTGAATTATTGAGACAGACTGAAGCGGCTGCTCTCAGCTTTGCGTCAGTTTTTGAGAGACAGAGGAGGAAAGGAAAGAGACAGAAAGCGAGGGAGATATGTTGGGTAGACTCATCCATGTTTCAAGAGGGGGTTTTGTCGGGAGCCTCCGGCAGGATGTCAGTTGTGCCACTGGTGTGCATCAGGGAGATTTCTCACTCGGTGGGATTAGGCGTACCAACGCACTAATGTCCCATCTCAGAACATAACAGGGAATGGCGTGGAAGGAGGTCAGGAGGTCACCTCACATGGTGATGGAGGAATAAAATTTAGTTTCAGCATGATAAAGGAGGGGAAAGTGCAGACATCAGAAGGGAGTCGTTATGTGATATAAAACTGGTGTCACCGGGCCATGCAAACTTAAAAGCTATGGAACTAGGGCTGCTGGAGCCATCTTTAATGTTTTTTTTACCTTTCTTTATAAATGTGATTTTACATTCTGGTGGTCAAAGTCTGCTTCCATCAAGACTTGACTCCTCTGATCCCACTGTACCACCTACCGTTTCTTCCTGCAAAAAAATGGGGCATGCCCCCTCTAATGCTCTAGTCAAAACAAATTTTTCTCTACTATCCCACAGCGTTTCCCTCGTCCTCTCCTCAAACTTCTCTTCCTTTTCTATGAGCAAGCTTCTGAGCTTAAATAATGCAGGAGGCCAGGTGCTCGCACACGCAGCCCCTTTTGCAACCCACACAAAAACACCCATACACACACCACACATAAAAATTTCATTGAAGGCCTCTGAGAGGAGGAGGGGGTCTGCTGTGTGATCCATATATCTCCAGACATAGGACAAATGTACAAGCCTCCTTTAGACGACTGTTCATGTAAGCAAACCAGTAAACCTGCAGCGTGCGGAGAGATGCGGTATCAATATTTGAAGCGCTTGCTTCCCATGAGCCTTTGGGAGGCGTTTAAAAAACGGTTGAAAATCAGAACAGGTCAAGGGAATTGTACTGTAGGTGTTCAGGTGTGATAAGTAACCTGCAAAGTGCACGTGGGTGGGTGGTCCAGTGCGAGACTGACCCGCAAGTGGCAGTGACTTAAACTCTACACCAGCGGTCACAGAGAGCTTTGTGACCTACAAATTGCTGGGAGCCTTGGAAAGTGGTCAGATTGCCCTGGTTAAATTGGTCAAGTGTGTGTGTGTGTTAGCCGAACTGCAGTCTTTAGCCTCTTAGGAGCGTCAGCCATTTGTGAAACATCCAATCTGTCAATCTGTTTGAAATTAAACAAGTTGATGCAGACAGGGTGTGTTCTAAGCAGTTTTAGGTTTTTCTTTTACAGTGTGAAAGATTTATTTACAGTTGAATATTATTAATCGGTATAAGTCACTCCAGGAAGCTCAGAATTTCTTCTTTGTCCTTTGTTTTTGTCTATTTCTGAATGTCTGCTCGCTCATGTATGTTTTCTTATCTCGGCAACTATCTGACAGAGGGGGCACACCCTCAACCATGCAGGATGGCTTCATGTATAGCTGAAGCAGGCCTGCCAAATCATGTTCAACCCTATGACCTATTCATAACAGTCAGACATTAACCTGTATCCATCAACGTATACATCATACATATATGTAGACTTGTGTCTGCATCAGTGGCTTGATACAGATGAAATTGAAAAAAAAATTTGTCCAGACGAGTGCAGAGAAAAGTTTTCTCTCTGTGCTTCTATATCGAAGACTTTGACAAAATATGTTTATCAACAACCCTTTTTCCATGACTCTGACAACGTGATTACAATGGCACTGACATGACGAGATGCCACCGTCAGTTAACACAGACTGTATCAACATGCAATTTTGTTTCCAATAAATTTGTAGTGAAAAATAAAACTTAACCAAAACCTATTTATATTTTCATTGATGGAAAAAGGAGACAAAATTCCGGTGCTTTGAATTTTCAAACAATGACATGAGCTAAATGTCCTTTGTCTATGCTGCACATTTCTCTGGTGACACCAGCAGTGTCTTGCTCTCACTAGTGAGATTGCTTGACGAGAACGTGCTCAGACCTAAAGTGCTACAGCTTAGATAATATACAGAAAGGTAAAAGAACGTGACTGCAACTTAACAGGTACAAATTTGGAGCCACTTAAAAAAATGATGCAGTGATGCCAAAAGGCCACAAACATGAAGAAACTTTTCAAGGTGAACCACACTGAAACTTAGAAACCTGTTGTTGGTTTGAAATTACTTTAAAACTATACTTTTAAAGTATTTTTTTATTAATTGGTCTTTGACATTTGAAGTTGCCTGTTTGTGACATCTACTGATTATTAATAGGCACTGATATGGACTTGAGTAAAGTCTGTCGGGCAATAGCAAGTTGTCAAGTACTAGAGTTGCTGTGTGCAAACCAGTTCCAAATATCTTCTTTACAAACTTATTCAAAAGGCTGTTAACAACCTGCTGTTAACACTTACAATCGAGCACATCACCACCACTAAGGCCTACAAAAGAGAAACGGAAAAACAAGTTTGATTAAGGGTCATTGTGATCATCAGTTGGATTAATCTTATCCGAAAGTGAAGTTTGACTGAAATACTCATCCTTGGTCTTAACTGAAATTAAACCACGGAAAAGACTAAAGCTAAAATAAAGGTAGCTGTCTAACTCAGCCCAGTTTAGAGGAATGCTCATGATGCCATTGTTCTGAGCTGACCACAGTATTGGTCTCATAATGATCAGGAGTTTGTATCCTGGTATGGCTATTTATAGGTCCATGTTTTACAGGATGCTTGTAAACAGCCTTAACAAATTTCACATGATTGTGTTTGGTGAAGAGTTCATGTGTGACAATCAATGAGAACTTTCTGATTTCTCTTCCTTGTATTTCACTGCTGTTAAAATCACGTCATCATAAAATTGTTGAGAAACCACCCGTCCAGCTGTTAAGATCCTGTCCCCACAACCTGTTGTAGTCTCTCTGTGAAGGACATGGTGTTATCGTGTAGCGACCATCGGCTCCACTCTGCAGTTATTGTGTATTTGCCTATTTATATATTTTACAGACTACATTTGCATACTAACAATGCATATTTTAAACATTTGCATACCATTAGTAGTAAAAGCAGGTCAGACACAGACCATCTCTCCTGCAGTTTTTGGCATTTCTCTTGCTTTCATGTGCTCACCTCATCTTTACCTTGACTTAAATTTTTTTTAGCAGAAATGGCAACTAAACGAAAGTGTTCTCACAGAAAACTGTGCGGTGCTATTCCCCAATCGGCCATTAACAGGTTTATTTATGGTTATTTATAGTATACAAGTATAGAATATTAATCAAACGCTTATGCCATATGTCATAATTGGTTGCAGGTAATTTGTAACACTAATTCCTCAATGGGCATTTGTAAAAAAACACATTCAAAGAATACAAATCAAAAACATGCAATCATATAAGACAATAATTTAACAATAGAACGTGCTACAGTAGAAGAAGGGAAAATACACGGGGGGGGCTGATGATGCCTCTTATGCGAGACAGACACAGAAATTAAAAAAGGAAACAAAGACATCAACGAAGATGTCAAGAGAGTTTGTGGTGATAAGAGCTGACGACTTGTCTGATGGCTGTAAACAAAATCACATGATATCTACGCAGCAGAGTTAATACGTCATTTCCTGCCTTGGTCTGCTGCACCCTGCTGCTCCACCTCTGGCCTGAATAATGCAGAGGATTTGAAGCTGTTGTGAATGTATGTCTGAAAACGCATAGAGTGATATCTCTGAGCTTATCACCTTCCTATCTTTTTACTGTGCAATAAAACACCATTTTAAGAAGCTTAAATTGACTTCATGTATTTAAACAAACTTAACCTTTCGTCTTCATACACAGTGAAGACACCAGTGGAAAGGTAAAAAAACAAACTTCACAACAGCCTGATTATCTCAAAGCCATGTTTCATTGATCAGTAAATTGACTAATGATGGGGACTATGACACTGAGCTACTGTCCTTCTCATTAGGACCTTATTGGCCTGTCAGAGGACTGTCTGCTCTGGGCACACAGGGCACTGTCATATCCACGCTGCTGGTCGATTGATGGTCCATTAACAGCCTATTAAACATGGCTAAGTGAAGGAGTTAGGAGTACAATGTTGGGCCAATAGGGGTTTCCCACTCCGCAGCATGGTTCTTGTGTCTGTTAATAGACCCTGGTAGATTGCCATTTTCAAGCGAGGCCGGGTTTTTTTTGGTTTGGTTTTTTTACTCCAGCCGATGAGGGTTTTTTAGGTTCTGTTGTGATTTTGACGTGTAGCTTTATCAGACGCACAGAGGGAATGTTTGAGAAACTGTTGAGGTGCTGTTGAGATGGTGTAGCCCTTTTTGATTGCAGGAAATTTTCCAGCAACCCTGACACCTTGATGCAGGAAGTCCTCAGAACCTTTACTAGAAATGGGAATGGGAATAGATGAGATTCAGTTGATACCAATGCCATTGTCCAGATGTGTAGGCATAGACCTAATTTCAGAGGAGAGTGTCACTTATTCTCTATAGCTACAATTTACTGATGTCCCCTTTGTGCCTTGTGTGCAGATTAGCAGATGCTAGTTTGACAGCTACACACTGAGAAGTCTGTAGTCTTTACTCTTACATTGTTACACACAACTCTAACAGGTGTGTAACGAAACATTTTTGAGTCTGTTAAGATTAATTTAAGTTGACATTCTGTGATTTTACCTTCCTGGGCGGGTTGTTCAAGTGGAGCTGATATAAAAACATTTACCCATGGCAACTGATGTGTTGATCATTTTTGGAAGCAGTGGCACTGCATAGATTGTCAAATGCATGGCATTCCTGGAATTTAAGACTGTGTCGTGTAGGCGTTCCAGTACTGCTGGTCTTTCCACACTTATTTCAAAATCACCGTATATCGCCCAAAATACACAGTTGGTGTGACTGGCATGCATGTGACAAACTAGTTCTTGCTCAGTAAGAATTAGTTGGCGTCTGGCTGACTGAGCTGGACAATATGTATCTTGGTCTCTTTGTGTTTTGCTGTCTGGTCACTTTCGGGACTGTGACTTAAGTGAGAGTGAAATACAACCATTAACTACATTTGCTAATTGCCAGCAGTGTTTATAAACTGCAGCTTGTAAAAAAATATCCATGTGAACATATATGTGATATGAAACCTGCTCTTTAATGACATTGATAACCCAATAATCTCAGTCAAGGTGTAATTTCAACTTTGAACTAGTGCCAAATTGAAAGCAGTGGATTGACATTAAGTATTAAATATTGAATTTAAAATGTTGATTAGCTGGCCTTACTGGTTAATATGGACGCAACCATTTCTTCATTTTTAAATAATCAAGTAATCAGCCAAGCTTTAGTATGAGTAGTAGAGTTACAATAGAAAATGGTTTACATGGCTCAGGTAGGAGAATGACTCCTGTAAACCAGCTTTCTTTTTAATAGCTAACACCTTGATGGGTTTGCAGGTCTGAAACTTAAGGGAGATTGATATGACAGCAGTTTGGAGGAATAAGTTAACTGAACTTAGTTTTTAACACTTTTTCCTCTTTGCTTCCCAGGTTAGCGTTATATGTGTACGAGTACCTGCTACATGTGGGAGCACAGAAGTCCGCACAGACCTTCCTGTCCGAGGTAAGATGGAATTTTCCAAAACCAAGTCCTGACCAAACCTTGAAAATAATTTATTATGACTGTGAAGACCCTTATAAGCAGCATGTCCGAGGCTGGAATATTGCCCCTTTACTCCTCTTCACATTTATTGTGAATGTGGAATGGGGGGGCATTACCGTTTCACCTTTATGCTGAATTGCCTAATCAATGTCAGTGTAAAAAAGAAAATGACATGATGTCGCAGACCATGGGGCTGTCGCATTAAACTTCAAGCCTTTTTTGCGGAAATGTAGATGTATCTCTGTCAATAGGGCTGAAGAGACTCCGTCGATTAAAGAAATGACCCCATTGGTGCAAGCAGCTTACTATGAGTCATCATCTGTTTAGCTGCATATTGTGTGCGACAGTATCAGTGTTTCGGCAGACGCCGCAATAAGACATGTTAAAAGTAGTAATAAATGAATAAATGGTCGTAGTATAAATAACAGGAACAACAAAGGAAGTCAGGTGATGTTATTTTTCAGCGTTAGAGTCTGTATGTGCAGGACGCTGTCGTGGTTGGATAGGTGGCTCAAACTGACATGTTTGCTTCTTTGAACCGTGCCCACAATTAGTCTTCAACTTCAACCACGTGTTTATTATGGTCACCGTGACAAGAAATGACCCTCACCTAGTAATTATTTTAACCCAACCATGATCTTTCCTTAAACTAACCACGTGTTTTTCGCCTTAACCACAAGTTTCATCACACCAGAAAAGGGTCAAATCTCTTTTTAAACAGTTTATCAGTTACACATCTCCTGCTGCTAACTTCAGGGAATATGCCTATGTGCAGTGTCAGAGTGTATTGACGATCATTTATGTGTAAGGACTTGTTGTAGAAGAGCTGTCTTCATTACTAAAGCTGTTGTAGCTAAAGTAGCTTTGAGCCTTCCTAGACATACAATATCAGTGCAAACATGCTAAACATGATCAGAGTGCAAGGTGTAGCATCAATTTTTCATCAGGTAATTCTATAAAGTTACACAAGCTCATGCTCACTGTTGGCGGGTGTAGCGACTGCTGTAGTGGTTAGTGGACATAGTAGACTTGTGTAGTCTTAGTGTTGTTTGTATTCATTTCCAAGCCTCCGAACTGCAGACAGTCAGGTTAACAGTGAGCGAGTTATTCTCTGGATTCATGAATGTTAAAAAAAAGAAAAGGATCAGGACAGAGACATGACAGAGAGAAGAGGAAGCGGGAGATGGAGATCGACAGAGGCAGAAAGATGCCTATCTTCACGTCAGAGGCCATTGACAGTTTGAGACTGACTGATTATATGTTCTTAACCCCTGGACCTGCAGACATAATCCTCTCTCTAGTGGCCGCAAGTGACTCTTCTCTCTTCTCTTCTCTCTCCATATTGCTCTCCTCTACACATCTCTTCTTCTACCTCTTTTCCTCTTCTCTTTCATTTACTGTACTCATTTCCCTCGTCTTTCCCCGTCTCCCTACATTTCCTCTTCTTTGCCTCCTTTCCCTCCTCCTCTTTCCTTGTGTCCACCTATCGTCTCTCCCTGATTCTCACATATTCTCTCTTTCTTCCACCTTTCCCCTCTCCTTATTTCCACTATCCCCACTTTATTTTACTCCTCTCCTTTCTTTTCTCAATTCTTTCCTCTCCTGTCACTGTTTTGCTCTCATCTTTCCTCTTCTCCTTTCTTATCTTTTATCCCTCTTTTCATATGTCCATCTCTCTTCCCCTCTATTTCTTCCTCTTCTCTCCCTCTCATCCCCCTCTCCTCTTCCTCTCCTCCTGCAGATTCGATGGGAGAAGAATATTACATTAGGGGAGCCCCCTGGATTCCTTCATTCGTGGTGGTGGTAAGTTTAGCTCCTCTTCTATTGTTTGCATTTGTTTTGATATTTGTATACATTTGAACGCCTGGTTTGTGTAAACAGATTTTATAGTGTGTCTCACGCTGTGTAGAAACACACACACACACACACACATACATAGGGCTCTGATGTCCATTCCAATGCTACATAATTCATTACTGCGTATGCACAAACAGCAGCTTCATTAGAGCGTTCACGGTGTGGTGGCTCATGAAAGAGACACAATTATATTTAGAATTTTTGAAACATGTAAATAAACATAGTCAGATGTAACATTTTAATTTATCTGCTGTTGCTCATCCTCCCTTGTTGTAAATCTGCCGTCCAGAGGTGGAGGGTCTCAGTCTCAGCCTTGGGGTTGACCAGTCTCACCGAGGGCATGACCCCCCCCGTCTTCTACTCTCTCCCCTCCTCCAGCTCTCCAGCCCTCAGCCCCCCAAGTTCCTGAAACAATAGATCCAGATGGTTAGGGAATGGCCCCCCCGCTCTCTATATGCACTCCCCTCCCCCTCCTCACCCCTCGTCACCTTTTGTGTTCCTCCACCTCCCACTTTTCTTCTTTGTTCACGTGGGAGAGGGATTCTTAGCAGATTAACCCATTGCATTCCAGCTTCCTTTGTGTCACCTCTCCCTCTGCTGTCTTCTCCCCCCCACCCCCCACCCCACCCCCGTCATTTCTGCTGTGGCTAAGATTTGACCTTTGGGGTCAACACCTCAAGCACTGATCAGCAGTTTCACTAATTTTTGGATGTCGCTCGGAGAAACCAGTAGAATGTCATTTAAATTCACAGTAAAAGTTTTACTTTCAATCCATGTTTACACACAGTCAGTCCATACTACGCCTACTACTACTATCAGTCCATACTGCTTAGCCTTAGATTCAAAAGCTATTGACGATAAGGGCTGACTGGTGTAAACAAAAATACATGTTTAATGCAGCTAAATTTAATCATTATGTTTCACATAAGCCGCAATCCCCTCAACACAGTTCCTCTCTGAAACTGGCATACATTGTCGACTGAAAAGAACATACAAACATATATAAACCAATACAACAGGAATGTGTTGCTGTTTGCAACCCAAATGATTTGAATTTACATCAATTTACAGTTCGATTTACAATGCACTTTTTTACCACTGAGGAATAACTCCCGATTCCAATGTAATGGCACTAAATCCTTTACCTGTGGCAGATTATTCTCAAGGTTTAACTGCGTAAAGTCCAGCTCATGTGCATATATGACTGTTTTACTGAGACTAGAATGTGTCAGCTGAGGAGAGAGCGAGAGTCTGAGCCAGGTCAGAAGATAATCAGAGCAGAAAAGAAAAGGCTACTGACACATTTTGCACCAGATTCAGCTAATAAATTTCGTGTCAGCAATTTAATAGTTTTTTTTTTTTGCCTGTGATATTTTCTGTTTTTCCTCATTGTCAGCAAACCCTGTTAAAACAGAATTTAAATGTGTTAGTCCACACCTAATGCTTCTGATGCCCTTTTGTTCCCTCTAAAATATTTGGTAAAAGGTAATGACATTTTTATAAAAGGTTAAATGATAATAAATATTTTTTTATCATCTGGACACAGCCTACTTTACTCAAACAGGAGTGAGTGGTTTATTTTGGGATACTACTCTTATCTTCAGATTTGATGTACTCCGCAGTTTCTCTCACCAGAGGTAAAGCACTTTATATTTGAGCAAATTATTATAGAATTACAAATCAAGGTGTTTGAAGTCATCAAACAGGAGATAAATAAATGAAGCTTTACTGCAAGTCTAAAACTTCATAGAAGATACTAATATTTACTAATGTTATCATTCATTGTTTCCTTTAGCGTTGGTGTCTTTTCACTTATCTCCTCCTCAGGAAGACTAGAGCACCACTTCATCTACAGAAACCATGGAAATGGATTTATAGATTCACAATTTAGCTGAAGGACACTGGAATAAGTACTGCACATATTACAAAGGAACACATGTTTAAAAACCTGTGGATTTAAAAGTACAGACTTGTACATTTTCTAAATATACTCTTTAACTTGTCTTAAAAAGTACAGTGCAACATTCACCTCAGGGGGTGGCTCTGCTGAGTCGGAAGAATGAATGTCAGGCTAATAGAGCACAATCAGCAATATGAGACCAAGGACGTGTTTTGATGAAAAGAAAATGAACCAATAGAATAATTATTTGAAAGCACACAAGGCTGAGTAAATCTAAAGGACAAGTTTAAAGTTCTTGTTCAATTAAGGACTTGGACCTCGAAGGTTCTTTCTTCACATATATACTCTACATAGAACTGTAGAAAAATAGAAATCCATTAGAAAGTATAAACTTTTGTTGTTTTTTTTTAAAAGCTCAAGAAGTACAACTTATTTTTTCTCATCACATTCATCTTTTAACTATAGATAAACTAGTCAGGAACAAATATGGTTTCTCATCCTTCTGATTTCTTGCTTGTAATAAAAAAGTGTTTCCGTCTGTTAAAGTGACCTTGAGGGAAAACACTGACACACGTATCATGTGTGCGTCTCTGTAGCTTAACTCTGCACTCTGACCTTCTCACAGAAGAAGGTTAAGATTGGAGGGCAATATATCCCATAACACGTGCTACACACTACAGGATTTAACCTCTGCCATTGAAGTTGTGTGTTTTTGTTTTTAAGGAAGATTACCAAAAACAACGTCATCTATTTCCTTGAAACTGGGTGGAAAGATGCTGCATGGGTCAAAGAACTCATTAAATTTGAGTGCAGATTATGGATCCTGGCACTTTCTTAAACATTGTGAGATAGACATAAACCTTATTTATTTTTTTACACTTTTTTCCTGGGAATAATTCCTGAATCTTGATGGGAAAAAATGTCTTATTTAGGAGACTTGTATCTATGAGTGTTTGAAATTTGTTGCACCTTTAAGAGGACTCTTGGGCCTTGGTGGAGGTATATGCTGTACCGAGTCCCATACTAGTTAATATTTTAATTGGGAGAATGCACGCACTAGACGATCCAGTTGAGACACAAGACCACACACACTTGGTGTTAAAAAAAAAAAAACAACAAAAAAACAGATTTCTGAAGAGCGATTCCAGAAACTTGGGAACTTGCAGAAACGTGCGTGAACACACACGATTTCAGATTAAAAACAAACATGGAGGCTTCCTGCCAGAGTCGTCAGCTGGTTGCATTTGTCTGTGTAATGTTTTGCACATTAAACTGTACACATTAAACAAGCATTCATACCTTTGACACAATTCCACAAGTTAGTCCTACTCTAATATCCACTTGGTACGGGAATCAGAATCAGCCATGTTTCAGTTCTAAAAACAAGTCTTCAACATCTGGTTGGTGAGGCCTCCTGGTCAGCTTGCTCTCATTGGCTATTGCATGTATCTCACCGAATCACTCTTCCCTTTAAACGTCGTGAGTCTCCCCAATTTCAAATTGTAAATATCAAATGTGTGACAGTCACGGTTCGAAATCAGCAAGTTCCACTTCAATGTGCTCAAAAGTGATGACTAAGAAAATATTACAAGGTGTTTGAGTTTGGGATTCAACATGTCTGTGTGCATTGCAGATTGTCAGGGCATGTGAAGTGGCAGCCTGATTAGTGTTCACGTTAGCTGAGTCGCTGTTTGGCTTGGTTTATAGCACTTCCACTAAATCAATGCACAAAGACTGATTGAATTTCGACCTTTTAGACAGGTAGTACACAGGCGTTTAGTCTTGTTGTTCTGTTGTCTCTGTGTGTGTGTGTCGATGTTTGAGACAGAAAGCTGTATAGACTCAGATGATGTGTGTGTGTGCGCGTCAGATCTTTTTGTTCTTATATGAATCAAACGATTAGCAAATTCCTTCACAATGAGGCCATTTGCTAGTCAACACTTGTACAGGAGGTTATTTCAGGGATTCACTTCAGGTAGTAAGAGTTAAAGGTGTGTGTGTGTGTGTGTGTGTGTGTG